CCTTGCGTGGCCAGGGCTTCCCATCCAGCCAGAACTCAGCCACACCAGTGCCCGATTCCCACCCGGCGCAGACGTGCTCCCAATCACCGCGGCTCTCGGGGACGCGGAAGGTGACGAACTTGCCGCCGACGTAGAAGCGGTACTCGCCCGGTTTGGGCTTGAAGAGGAGGATCTCGTTGTCCTGCGCCTTGGTGGCGTAGGAGAAGAGGCTGTGGGGCCGCGTGAGGTGGGTGTAGGAGCGCAGGCACACGGTGAAGTTGAGCAGCGGCTGCTCCGGCTTCACCCGCAGCACCACGTAGGCATCGCTGGGGTCGTTGCGGAACACAAACACCTTGCGGTACAGGTCTGGGGTGGGGGACACACACACACAACAAGGGGATGTGGTTCCCTCTGAGCCTTCCTCCACCCACCCTCTACATCCCTGACATCCCCTCTGCTGATCCCAGCCGGGCTCCAGCATCCTTCATCCCCGCTGGTCCTGCCTGACCCCATCCCCAGCATCGTCCCTGTGCCCTTGTACCTTCCTGTGCCCCGGTCCCCAGGAGCCCGGCCAGGATGCTGAACCAGAGCCGCAGCGGTGCCATGGTCCCGGCTGCTGTGGTTGCACTGGGAGCTGCTGGGTTTATGGGCTGGAAGGGTGGGAGGGGAATTGCACCCCCCCCCCCCCCCCAATCCCAATCCCATTCCATTAGGAGCGATTTCACGCCATCACGGGGCCCTGGGTCACCCGCCTGCACGGGGCAGCCCTGGAGCAGTGCCCTGGGGGGCTTCACCTCCATCCTCCCATCCTATGGGATGGAGCCCAAGGATGGAGCCATCGGCACCAGAGCTCTCCATCCACTCCCATTCCATGTGCCTTGTGACCGCACGTGGCTGCTCCACATGGGCTCTGGCCAGCACTGGGTATAACCTTCATTATGGGCATGGAACTCCATAATGAGCTTTTCCTGCTCCTTTAGCAGCACACGCCTCCCGCTTCCCGTCCTTCGGCATTCCGGAGGTGAATGTCACCCCCGGTGCCCCCCAGCCCCGGTCATTCACTGAGCTTGGCAGCACCTCCAGTACATGTATATATTGGATGCAATTCCCAGCATGGGGCTCATCCCAGCTTGTCAGGAAAGGACCCCCCCCCCCCCATTGCTTCCCATCAAACCCTCCCATGGGCACCCCTGAGGCCTTGGGGAGATGCTTGAGGCACCCCAGGGCGATGCCTATGGAGCGAATGGGGGTGCCCATCCCCAAGCAGTTGGGAAGGGGATGGAGATGGGCAGCAAGGCTGGGATGCAGCAGCTCCCTGAGGCCTGGGGGAGTGTTGCCTATGGGGCAGGAGCGATGCTGTGGGCCGAGGGGCCGGTACCGGTGCTGGTATGGCAGAGCCGGGCAGCCAGCAGCACCGCGGCGGGCCCCATCCAGCAGTGCAGCAGCCCCAGCGCCTCGCTCAGCCCCAGTGCGTAGTCAAAGTGCTGGAAGGTGCCGCAGGTCTGCGGCAGGACCCGGCTGTGCAGGAGCAGCTCCGTGGCCAGCGCCGCGCCGTGCGGCACCCACAGCGCCAGGAACACCCAGCTCGCGGCCAGGTCCGGTGCCCATCGCGCCCTCCATCGCGGCACGGCCAACGTGGCTACGGGCACTGCCACCGGCAGCAGAAGGAAGAGGCCGAGGCAGAGGCCGAGGTGCAGGAGGTTCACCGGTGACACGAAGTCCACGCTGCGCCGGAGGCAGCTCGGCTCTGGCACCGCCGCGGTGCCGCTGGTGAGAGCCCCCGGTGTTGCCAAGAGCAGCGCCAGGACCCACACGGCCACGGCCAAGCGCCGGCTCCGCGCATCCCAACGGCACCAGAAACGCCCGCAGGCACCGGAGGCCACCAACAGCCCCTGGGCAAAGAGGCTCCAGTACCAGAGGAGGTGCATGAGCCGGCACAGCGCCGTGCCCAGCCGCCAGCCCTGCCCGATGCCCAGCGCCACGGCCGGCAGCACCGCAGCCAACAGCCCCGTCCCCATGGCCAACTGTGCCACCAGCGCCCGGCTCTGCGGCCATTGGGGCCGCTTGGCCAGTGCCAGCAGCAGCGCTGCGGTGCCCAGCGCGGCCATGGCACTGGTGACAGCCAGGAACGGGGGAGCCACGCGCTGGAAGACGGAGCAGTATTGGTTATGGCACGGCGCGGCCCCATAGTCCAGTGAGGTCTCATTGCCGGCATCATCATCATCATAGGAGGAGAAGTTGCCCATGAGCTCCATCAGGTCCAGCAGGGAATTCCTGCTCTCCAGGAGGCTGGGGCTCTGTGGATGAGATGTAATGGGATGGATCCTGATGTGCCCCAACCGGTGCCACGGGATCCGAGCAGGGACTTATCAGTGAGGGCCACGCTGCAGGGACCCTGTCCCTGCTGCTCCTCCTCCCGCATCCAGCAAACCGGGAATGCCCCTGGAGCCACATGCACTCACCACTGGGATGCAGTTGCCCATGATGGGGGTCCTGGGACAGCTCCGGGTCCAATGGGGGCCTCCACAGCCCCGGCGCCGAGCGCTCTCCCACCGGCTCCTCCCGCCGCAGGGAGGTGATGGCTGCGGGCAGGAGATAAGAGCGGCTGCACCGGGCGGGCAATTCCCACTGCCAGGGCCTGGAGGAAGCGGGGGCCCCGCTGCCGGGAAGGCACCGGAGTGGGACTGGGACGGGGAGGCAGGGGCAGGAAACGACGGCTTCTTGGCAGAACAGCTCCAGCTCATCAGGTATTGTGTGAATGGGATGTGTGGATGCTCCGGGTGCCGGCCTGGAGCGTGCCGGGGGGGCAGCGCAGGAGGAGAGGGGATGGTGTGGAAATCAGCTGCTCTGTCGCAGGATGCCCCAATGGGATCCTATGGGATCAGTGGGGGGGAAGCGCAGGCTCCCGGTGCTGCAGTGGCAGCAGATGTGGCTTGGGGGGAGGCTGGTGGCCACTGTGCATGGTGGGAGCATCCTCATCCATGGTGGGAGCATCCTCAACCATGGAGGGAACACCCTCATCCATGGAGAGAGCATCCTCATCCATGGAGGGACCATCCTCATCCATGGAGAGAGCATCCTCATCCATGGAGGGACCATCCTCAACCATAGAGGGAACATCCTCAACCATAGTGGGAACATCCTCATCCATGGAGGGAGCATCCTCAACCATGGAGAGAACATCCTCATCCATGGAGGGAACATCCTCATCCACGGTGGGACCATCTTCAACCACAGTGGGACCATCCTCATCCATGGTGGGAACATCCTCAACCATAGTGCGAGCATCCTCATCCGTGGTGGGACCATCCTCAACCATAGTGGGAGCATCCTCATCCATAGTGGGAACATTCTCATCCATGGTGAGAACATCCTCAACCATAGTGTGAGCATCCTCACCCATGGTGGGAGCATCCTCATCCATGGTGGGACCATCCTCAACCATAGTGGGAACATCCTCATCCACAGTGGGAACATTCTCATCCATGATGAGAACACCCTCAACCATAGTGTGAGCATCCTCATCCATGGTTGGACCATCCTCAACCATAGTGGGAGCATCCTCATCCATGGTGGGACCATCCTCATCCATAGTGGGAGCATCCTGGAGGGTGCTGTGGCTGAGAGGCGTGATTTGGGAGCAGGAAAAGGTCTGATTTGGGGTGAAAAGGGGTGCATGGGGCTGGATCCAGACCATGCTTTGGGTGCTGAGCTCTGTCCCTGTCCCGGTGCCCTCCGGCTCCCCCCATAGCGGGCGCAGCAGAGCAGGAGGCGCAGGCAGGTCCGTGTGTGTAATCCAGATATATTTATAGGATTATTTTCCGAGATTAGCACAGGATATTAAAAGGTTATAAAGTCACATCGACGTCCCTTGGCTCCCCTTATGTACATAACACGTCGAACACAGCACAACGACACAGCCCGTCCTCTGCCCCGTCCCGCTGCCGCCCCACGGCGTCTCCAGAGCTCCCTACAAATATGGCTTTCGTGTCTATTGAGAGTTCAGTGCCGGTGGGAAGCGGCCGGAGCCGAGCTGGAGCTGCCACATCCCGGCTGCATCCTCCTCCGTCCACTTGCAGCCCCGGCTCCGATGTCCTGGTGATGGGCACAGGGTGGCCATGGGGCTGGAAGCCAATGTGTATGGGTGAGGTGGCCCTGGTGGCAATGGCAAGGTGGTGACACCGGGTGCTGTCACCCCCATAGGGGCATCAAGGTCCTCACCCCCTCCTTGGCCCACGTCACCTCTTGGGCTTAGGACAAGGTGAACCAGCTCCTCCTGGACCCAGTGTGCCACCTACAACCGGACCAGCACAGGGGGTACCCCTCACCCTGATGTGCTCACAACTGGCACCCGTCGTGACATACCCCCTATCGTGACACGGTGTGCTCACCACCACACCTCACCCTCGCCATGGTCCATTCAACCACTCACAAAGTGGCTTCTCCATCGCCTTGCACCCCGATGTGTCCCCGTGGCCGTGTCCCCACATGGGTGACCTGGTGTGCCCATCACTCTCACAGGCACCACGGGGCTCCATCAGCCCTCACTGCTGCTCCCTTCCATCCTCCAAAGCCCTTTGGCTCCTGCTCTCGCCGCAGCAGGACAATGGGCACCACCAGGCCCATCCATTGCTGGCTCCATCCTGGACCATAAAACACCTCCAAGAGACCAAATCCCGACTGGATTGAGCCCTGGAACAGAAGCCTCAAAGGGACACGAACCTCCCCATCTTCAGCTCCCACCTTCCTGCCCTTTAGGAGCAGTCACCCCCTTCCCACCCAGAGCCCCAGGTTGGGGCTTTCTTCACATCATCTACAACACGTAGACTCGAGAGACTGAACTCCAACTGGAATCACATCCTTGTGTTTGGATTTGAAGGAATGACGTCTGTTCAATAGTGGAGGTTGGAGATCCTCAGCCGAGGACCGGGCCACACGTTCATAGGTGCTCGGTGCTCCTGACACCCAGCAAAGCCTCATCCTGTCCCACCATCAACTCCTTCACCCCCTTGAGCCCCTGCTCCTTCCATATTGGGCTTCCCCATGGGAATCCTCCTCCTGCCATGTGCTCATGGGGTCTGGATGGGAGCGATGCTCCCCATGGAGACCTGGTACCCCACGGACACCCCTGCCCCATGGCGGAGGATGGGAGCTCTTCCTCCACCTCCAAGATGAGGTCACCACCCACCAAGGGTTCCCAAAGGATTCTCCTCCTCCAGCCCACCCGAAATCCAAGGGGCACCCAACCAATGGGCAGCTCCCCTTGTGTCCAGACCAAGAGATGCTGCGATCCCGGGAGGCTGGAGAGCCTGATCCCAAGGGAGAGCACCAAGCCCTGGCTCCTTGGATGCTGGAGCACATGAGCCCACGATCTGGGGATCAAGAGGAGGGCCAGGAAAGCTGCTTGGATTTGCCTTGGAAGAGGCAGTGAAGAGGAAGGAGGAGGTTGGAACCCCCCCAACCTCCTCAGAGACCCCTCGGGATCCTAACCCGGGTGTTTCATTTGGAGCCAGGAGGGAAACGGCCTTTTCCCATCTCCCATCCACCCGGGAACGGGGACAGGGTGGGAAGGGGATGCTCCAGCATCGGAGCCCCTTCTCCTCGCCCTTGTGCCACCCTGGTCAGCTCCAGCTCAGCTCCCGCGGGTCCAGCACTGGGCCGGTGGCCTCCTGCACTGAACGTCTCAATAGATGGTTGTGAATCGACCTTGGAATAGATGGTTCCCAATGGACTTGGTATAAAGTTGGGGCCCTTTTTCCTCTGGATTCGCCCCCAAAGCTCCTCCCTCCCCCCTCCCGCTGGGGTGGGACCGGGGAGCTGCAATCCCAGCAGCTCCCAGTCTCTCCGGGGGCTCAGCGGATCCCACCCTGGAAGCTCATCCCCCTTCACACACGTTCCACACGAGGACAGCTTCCTCCCATATGGACACTGTTGGACAAGAACCACCAAGGATAAAATCAGGGCAAGGGGCCTGGGCTCCCTCCCGGTGGCGGTGATGCCCCGGTTCCCATCCCACCACCACGCAGCAGCAGCCGTATCCGGGAGGGAACACCGGGATCCCGGCTCCGGATGGGCGAGCGCTGGTGACACCGGGGCCGCCCTGAGCCCGGAGCTGATTTTATCCTTGGATACCTCAAAAGAAACCAAACTGGAACGAAACGAAGGAAAGAGCGACACCGACCCCAGCCCAGGCTCCCACCCGAGGGCCCAAAGCAAAAGAGCAGCCACGAAACCAAAGCAAAGGTCCAAAGGAAGGAGGGGGAATCGCTCACTCACGGGGATGGAGGCGCAAAGCAAGCGAGCGGGGCCGGGGCCGCCGCTCCTGGAAACCAGGGGTTGGCCAAGTTCAAGCATCATTGGCGCGGCTCAGGCCGGTGGCTCCTGTGCTCCCCTGTCCCGCATCCCTCAGCCCGGGGCTGTAAGTGCAGGGGGTGCAATGGGTTAGGGTCGTGCTCTGGTTTCCATCGCCATCGCTGGCTCCATTGGCTCGCTCGGTCCCGCTCAGCCCTAGATGAAATACTCCTTCTTGTCGTCGCCGCCCGCCTGCCCGCCCTCCGCGTTGATGATGGCGGTGTCGGCATCCGGGGCATCATCCGAGCCCTTGGCCTCGTGGGTCAGGTATGTGCCTGGGGGGGGGATAAACACACACACACAAAGGGTTCGGTGTCACACTGGGGTGCTGCTGTCACCCCGCTCCCACACCGAGCAGGGCAGAGGGGCAGAGCCCCAGGGCTGGACAATGGAAGTGATGGGGAAGTCCTTTGGGCTTGGCCTGCAATGGAAAAGTCACTGGGGATGGGGATGGGGATGGAGCTCGAGGGTTTCGCTGTCATCCCGAGCCTGTCGGTGACGCTGCCTCTCCTGCCCTCCCGCCCGATCCCTGTGGTCCCTAAGGAATGCGGAGCGCTCCGGCGAGGGGCCGGGCTCGAGGGCAGGGTGGGGGGCTCTTACTCACACATCACCTCTGCTGGCTTTGGCCGGTGTCTGGATGTGACCGTCTCCCCGTGTCTTATGCACATACCTGCCGGGCGGATGAAAAGTCCAGGGATGGGGACATGGAAGTGGCGGAGGGGAAGGAGGAAGGCGAGGGATGGAGCGGGGAGGGCTCGGTGGTGGGTACCAAGCCCTGAAGGAGAGATGGAGGAACAGGGCAGGACCTGGTGCTCCCCAGCTCCAAGGACTCGCTGCGTTATCTCCGCGCCGATGCTGGTGCCACCGCGGGCACGGGGAGCCCGGGAGGGCTCCGGGATGACGCCGTTGGGATGCGGAGCTGCCCCTTCACCCCTGCCCCACACCCCACGTGTGGGGCTCAGCCCCACGCGCTCGGTACCTTTGTGTCTGATCAGGTAGTGGCCCAGGACGATGAGGAGGCTGAGCAGGAGGAAGACGATGACGGCCACGACGCCGCCGATCACCGCGTGGTACGTGCTGGACGTCGAGGGCACGGGGCTGGCGTCTGATAGAGCAGAGAGGGGGAGATGCTGCAGCACCGGCTCAGCCCCATCCTGACGCGCACCAGGGTGAAGGAGGGAGGGTGGGAAGGGAAGGAGGCAGCGGGGAAGCGAGGAGGGGAAAGCAACGGCCACCGGTGCCGGTTGTGGATGAGCTGCGATGGGGAAGCCCATCCCTTTGGCTGGCGGCGGCACCGGGACCATGCTCTGCACAGCCCAGGGTACCTCCACGTTGGGATCTGCACCCCAAGTCCTGGGATGCTGCATTAGGGAGAATCCTCCTTCCACTCCTCGCTCCTTGCGCCCATCAGCTCAGGGAGGGGATGGAGCCACAGAAGCACTTGGACAGGATGGGATGGGACAAACGGGACACAGGGACAACGCTCCACATGGACACAAAGCTCACGGGCAGCCAGGACCCCTTGGGGCTGGATGGTGGCTGCAGAGCCCATGCACACACACAAGAGCACAGAGCAGCCCCCAGGGGGGCACCTGGGGTGTGAGTGGGTCCCTGTCCTCCTATGGAGCTTCTGGCATCCGTAAAGAGACAGAAAAGGAGCTTACGGTACCTTGGATGGGAGCTGGAGTGAAGGATGAAGCGGTGGCCATGGAAGCATGAGAGATGGGCTGGGAAGGGCCCGGAGTGGAGTGAACGTGTGGGGTGGGGAGCTGGGGAAGATCTGGGGAGGATAAGAACACAGGGACACGAATCAACCCTGGGGGGGGGGGTAACAGAGCCCAGCCTCAGGGGCTCCTTCTGGCCCCCCCTTCCTTGGCCATGGGTCCTGCTCCGAGCATCATCCCATCTCCTGCCCTCCAGCATCCCCTGGTCACGGCCCCATGGGACCCTCCTGCCTGGGGCTGCCGACGTTGGGAAGCATCCGGATGCTCCAGTGATGGGCAAAAGAGGGAGAGTTTGGGAAGGGGACTGAGCCTCAATGTGCTGGGGCACCCAGTGGGTGAGGGATGCTGGAGTCCTGGCTGCCACGCGCCTGCGGATGGTGCTGAGCCCATGGATGGGTGCTGAGCGCCCTTGGCAGCACAAAACTGGTCCCTGCATAGAGCTCAGACCCACAGGGATGGGGGGGGGATATGGGGGTGATGGAGGAACAGGACAGAGGAACTTGGGTGCCGCTGCTGCCATGCACTGCGTCTACCCCAGCCACATTGGAGGGGGGAGATTCTGAGGGTGCCCAACACAGGAGGGGAGGGAATGGGATGGGATGGGAAAGGGAAAAGCTGGAGCATGGAGGAGAGGGGGAAGATGAAGTCCAAGGATGGAAGAGAGAGAAGAGAGGTGGCAAAAAGAGGAGAACCCCAAATCCAAGGCCAAATCCAGAGGGAAACAGGCTCCTACCAAACCAACACAGGGGGGTGGTAGCACGAGCAGCTCTGCTCCATGGGCAGCACACGGAGCTCGGACACAGCAGGACACAAGGACACGGTGGCAGAGCACAGGCAGGGCAGGGGGACGTGGTGTGGGGACAGCACCGAGCCCCTTCCCATGCAGGATCACGGGATGCAACATGCTAGGAACACGGGATGCAACACGCCAGGAACACGGGATGCCACACGCCAGGAACACGGGATGCCACACGCCAGGAACACGGGATGCCACACGCCAGGAACACGGGATGCCACACGCCAGGAACACGGGATGCAACACGCCAGGAACACGGGATGCCACACGCCAGGAACACGGGATGCCACACGCCAGGAACACGGGATGCCACACGCCAGGAACACGGGATGCCACACGCCAGGAACACGGGATGCAACACGGGATGCAGCGCAAGCAGCAGCTCAGGGAGCACGGGACAGGGCTGCCAGGGCACCTCGTGCTTTGGAGCCTGCTGGGAATGCTCTTTGGCTCATGAAGGCATCACACAGAGGCTCGGGAGCTGCAGCAGCCTCTGCTCCTGTCCCAGAGGCTCTGGTGTGCAGCAGCTCCCCCAGTGCATCCACTCCCATTGCCCAGCGGAGGCAGCAGGGACCGAGCTGCACACACGCACCTGCATCCCTGCATCCATGCATCCATCCATCCCTGCATGCATCTATCCATCCTGCATGCATCTATCTATCCTGCATGCATCTATCCATCCTTCCCTGCATCCATCCATCCCTCCCTGCATCCATACATCCATCCCTTCCTCCCTGCATGCATTCATCCATCACTCCCTGCATCCATCCATCCCTCCCTGCATCTATCCCTCCCTGCATCCATCCATCCCTCCCTGCATCTATCCCTCCCTTCATCCATCCATCCATCCCTCCCTGCATCCATCCATCCATCCCTGCATCCATCCATCCATCCCTGCATCTATCCTTCCCTGCATCCATCCATCTCTCCCTGCATCCATCCATCCCTCCATCCCTCCCTGCATCCATCCCTCCCTGCATCCATCCATCCATCCATCCATCCCTCCCTCCATCCCTCCCTGCCTCCATCCATCCATCCATCCCTCCCTGCATCCATCCCTCCCTGCATCCATCCATCCCTCCATCCCTCCCTGCATCCATCCCTCCCTGCATCCACCCATCCCTCCATCCCTCCCTGCATCCATCCATCCCTGCATCCATCCATCCCTCCCTGCATCCATCCCTCCCTCCCTGCACCCCTTCATCCATCCCTGCATCTATCCTTCCCTGCATCCCTGCATCCATCCATCCCTCCCTCCCCACATCCATCCATCGCTCCCTCCCTGCATCCTTGCATCCCTCCCTGCATCCATCCATCCATCCCTCCCTGCATCCATCCATCCCTCCCTGCATCCATCCATCGCTCCCTCCCTGCATCCATCGCTCCCTCCCTGCATCCTTGCATCCCTCCCTGCATCCCACAGAGGGACACGCAGCCATCCCCTCTTACCGCTGACATCCAAGTTGTACTTGGCCACGACGCTGCCCATGGAGCTGGTGGCCGTGCACACGTAGGTGCCGCTGTCGCTCTTGTTGAGGAAGGGGAAGATGAGGACGCTGTCGGAGCTCAGCTGCAGGGGAGCGTCGCTGCCCTCCTTCTCCCATAGGAACTCCTGGGGGCTGTGGGATGGGATCAGGGTGAGGAACCGGCCCCGGGGCTGGGGCAGAGCCTTGCAGTGGATGTGGGGGGGGTTTAAACAGGAGGGAAACAGCTCCATGAGGCTGCTTAAAGGGGAGAGCTCAGAGCAGCTCCTAAAGGGGCTGCAGGAACCTGGAGAGGGGCTTGGGACAAGGGATGCAGGGACAGGGCAAGGGGAATGGCTTGAACCTGCCCGAGGGGAGACTGAGCTGAGCTCTGAGGCAGAAGCTCTTCCCTGTGAGGGTGCTGAGGCGCTGGCACAGGGTGCCCAGAGAAGCTGTGGCTGCCCCATCCCTGGCAGTGCTCAAGGCCAGGTTGGACACAGGGGCTGGGAGCATCCTGCTCCAGTGGAAGGGGTCCCTGCCATGGCTGCAGATGAGCTTTAAGGTCCTTTCCCATTCAAACCAGTTTATGATCCCATGAAACATCCCATCTAAACAAGCCGGGATGGATCCGCTGCTCCAGGGAGAGCGCAGGGGCTCTGCCCAGCCTGGAGCCCACCCAGTGCCACCTCCATCACCTTGAGGCTGCTTTAGGGACCCAGCAGCAGCAGGAGGAGCTGATGGGACCTGATGGGGCTGAGCGAGGGGCAGGGGGGGTCCTTACATGGGGTTGCCCTGCCCATCGCACTGCAGCTGCAGCTTCTCGCCCTCCCGCGGGTACTGCGGATGCGGCTCGATCTTCGCTGTCGGCTTGTCTGGGGATGGAGGAGAGGCAGCGTCAGGGGCCAGCACCCCAAAACCCTGCCCCACACAGGGCATGGACCCGCCAGCACCCCAAGAGCCAGCTCCATGGGCTGCAGGGTCCAGTCAGCATCCCAAACCCCTGTGCCACACAGGGCATGGAGCCATCAGCACCCCAAAACCCAGCTCCATGGGCTGCAGGGAGCGGTCAGCATCCCAAAACCCTGATCCACACAGGGCATGGACCCATCAGCACCCCAAAACCCTGTTCTGTGCAGCACAGGGACCCCCAGCACCCCAAAACCCTGCTCCATGGGCTGCAGGGACCGGTCAGCATCCCAAAACCCTGCCCCACACAGTGCATGGAGCCATCAGCACATCAAAACCCAGCTCCATGGGCTGCAGGGACCAGTCAGCACCCCAAAACCCTGTGCCACACAGTGCATGGACCCGCCAGCACCCCAAAACCCAGCTCCATGGGCTGCAGGGACCGGTCAGCATCCCAAAACCCTGTTCCACACAGTGCATGGAGCCATCAGCACCCCAAACCCCTGTTCTGTGCAGCACAGGGACCCCCAGCACCCCAAAACCCTCCTCTATATGTCACAGGGACCAGCCAGCACCCCAAAAACTTCCTCCATGGGCTGCAGGGACCAGCCAGCACCCCAAAACCCAGCTCTATGGGCTGCAAGGACCAGCCAGCATCCCAAATCCCTGTTCTGTGCAGCACAGGGACCCCCAGCACCCCAAAACCCAGCTCTATGGGCTGCACGGACCAGCCAGCACCCCAAAACCCTGCTCTATATGTCACAGGGACCAGCCATCACCCCAAATCCCTGTTCTGTGCAGCACAGGGACCCCCAGCATCCCAAAACCCTGCTCCATGGGCTGGAAGGACCAGCCAGCACCCCAAAACCTTCCTCCATGGGCTGCAAGGACCAGCCAGCACCCCAAAACCCAGCTCTATGGGCTGCAAGGACCAGCCAGCACCCCAAAACCTTGCTCCATGGGCTGCAAGGACCAGCCAGCACCCCAAAACCCAGCTCCATGGCCTGCAAGGACCAGCCAGCACCCCAAAACCTTGTTCTATGCAGCACACAGACCCCACCAGCAGCCCACCCCCCTGCCCCACACTATGCAGGCACCCACGCACACAACAACTGCACGTCCACGCATGCGATGGTGCTGAGCTGTGGCGATGCTGAGGCTCTTCCATCTCCTGTCCCCTTCCCCACAGACCCCTGCCCTGTCCCCATTGCCCCCCATTCACGTACAGTGAACCTGCAGCTTCTGCGTGGTGGACCTCTCTGCGTTCTGCAGCGACTCGTGGTCCACGGTGCAGGTCACCTCGGCCTCGTTGTCCTCCTTGGTGACCCGGAATTCCACGCGGCTGCTCACGGTGAAGGTCTTCCCATTGGGATCCTCCACCACCTCGGTGCCTTCGTCTGCAGGGAGGGCACAGGGGAGGGGCAGAGGTGATGGATGCGGGTGATGCTGGCACTGATGCGGAGCATCCCTTGGTGCAGGGTACCACAGCGCGGTCCATGGTGCCCTATGGGGTCCCCGCAGTGTTGGGCACCCACCTTTGAGCTCCTTGTTGCCCTTCCTCCAGCGGAGCTGTGCTGCAGGCTTGCTGCCTGAGGAGCGGCAGGTCAGGTGCGCCAGCTTCTCCTCATCGATGGGCTGCTCGTGCCCGAAGATCTGCGGCTTCTGGGGGACTCCTGGGGCAGGAGGAGGTGGGAGCACAACGGGGGCATGGGGGGGGGTTTGTGTGAGCGCTGCCCTGAGGGCACTGACACTGGAGCCAGGGAATGGGGTGAGGGATGCGGAGCAGCACGGAGGAATGGTGGCATGGGCAGCAGCCTGCAGGTAGGGGATGGGGAGCAAGAGATGCAGGGGATGGATGCAGGGGATGGGGAGCATCCTGCAGGCAGGGGATGCAGGGGATGGACAGCAGCCTGCAGGCAGGGGATGCAGGCAGGGGATGCAAGGGATGGACAGCAGCCTGCAGGCAGGGGATGCAGGGGATGGGCAGCAGCCTGCAGGCAGAGGATGGGGAGCAAGAGATGCAGGGAATGGGCAGCATCCTGTAGGCAGGGGATGGGGAGCAAGAGATGCAGGGGATGGGGAGCAGCCTGCAGGCAGGGGATGGGCAGCAGGAGACGCAGGCCACGGGCAGCAGCCTGCAGGCAGGGGATGGGGAGCAAGAGATGCAGTGGATGGGGAGCAGCCTGCAGGCAGGGGGTGGGCAGCAGGAGATGCAGGCCACGGGCAGCAGCCTTACCCAACACAGTGACCAGGGCCTTGGCAGTCCGCACGGGCATGGTAAAGAGGGAGCACGTGTATTCCCCCTCATCCGACAGCACCACGTCACTGATGCTGATGGTCAGCTCGTTGGGGGTGGATTTCTCCAGCTGGATCCTGTTATCCCGCAGGGCTGGGGCAAAGCGACAAGGGGTGAGTGAGAGGCTGGGTACCACATCCCCCTACCAGCTCAGGTGGCATCAATGGAGGTGGGGAACAGGGTGAGCATCACCCTCAGCACCATCACCACCACTCTCCCTCTGCCCCGTGGTGCCTCTCCCATCCCAATTCCCAATTGTACCTCGCTTCTCCCCAAAGTAGAGGGTCTGCTGGGCAGGGTTGGACCATTGCAGCGAGGAGTCATCGGGATCCTCCACTTGGCACTTGAGGACCACGGTACCGCCGGCCACCACGGTCTCATCCGACGTCGTGGGCTGGCTCTCTGGGCACAGAAGGGATGGGTTAAAGGGGGCCTGGATCCATCAGCATCACTGAGCACCCAAGGAGGAACAGGCCCCAAGCCCCTGGGACACAGAGGGTTACAGCTTGCTTGGGATAAAGGTGATTTCCAGCTGATCCCAAGCCCCGGATGGCCCGGCTGGGGCAGGGGATGAGGTTCCCCTGGTTCAGCTGCTCTGGGTGGCAGCATGGAGAGGATAAAGGGGACAACAGGGACCTGCTCTCAGGCACGGACCAGCCCTGCTTTCCCACTCAGATCCAGCCCACTTCAGATGCAGGAGCTGGTTGGTGCCCACCAGGCATGAGCGGATCCAGGCAGGAGCAGGGATACACCAGGAGGGACCCTGGGATGCGGGAAGCTCTGCTCCAGCACCCCAGCAGCAGCAAACTGGGGCTCCCACCAGCACCCCACACCATGGGATGCTCCATTGGCCACCTCCAGGAAGAGCATCCATGGTCCATTGAAATCCACTGGGGGACAGCCCATGGCCTGCTCCCTGTCATTCCTAAGGGGATGTGCTATTGCTCACACTGGGTTGTGCTTCCTCACCTAGGGAATTGTCCTTCCTTGTGGCTCCTCAGAGGGCTCCAGCAGCCAAGGGCAGGGAAGAGCAGCCCCGGGATCAGGTATCCCCCAAGGACAACTATTCCTGGACAAGGGATGTGCCAGCGAGCGGAGCTGCAGGGACAAGGGGGACACGGGCTCCGCTGCGCTCCCTCCTCATCCAGCTCCATCCATGGACACTGCTGCACCCAGGGGTCGAGGGGCTTCACATCATCTCCCTCCCATTTAGGCAGGGCCATGGCCTCAGCACCCTGTGGGATGCTGCCCATGCAGCCGGATGTCACATCCATGCTTCCCTGCTTCCCATTGCCCGTTACCAGGAGAGGGGTGGAAGCAGCTCCAGCCCATTTCCCGCTTGGAATGGTGAAGGGGAACGCTTTGTTCCACTCCTAATGGGAATTCCCACAGGGAGCAGGATGGAGCGAAGAGGTTATGGAGGGGGATGATGCTGCCGTGGGTTCCTAGGGATATCCAGCTCCAGGAATGGCACGGATCCCTCTCTGCCCGCTCCCAGCAGCCACCACTACCACAGATGCTTCCAAACGGGATTAAAGGCATTCCCATGGTGAAGCTCTGCTGCTGCCCCCTGCCTGGGATCGATGTGAGGCCATGGGGACACGTCCCACACTGGGATCCCTGAGCCGGGGCTGTTATCCCGGTTCCGCTCGGTTAACGAAGCCTTTGTCCTGCTCCGGCTGCAATGCTGGGATGAGGCTGCTGTGAGTCGCTGTTGTCCCCACTGCAAGCGCTCCAACGGCAGCTGAGGACAGCAAAACCCACCCAGAGCAGGCCACATCCCTTAACAACACCGGCACCAGCATCACCCGGGTATGGGGAAAGGCTCAATGGAGCGAGATGGAACCATGGAATGGTTTGGGTTGAAGGGACCTTAAAGCTCATCGAGCTCCTTCTCTTCTCCAGGCTGCCCCAGCCCGGCTCCTATGGGAGCTGCTCCAGCCCTCGCAGCATCCCCATGGCCTCCTCTGGCCTCGGAGCCATCACCCCCGGTCCCAGCAGCATCCCAGGGGCACAAGGATGCTCTGGAAACCCGGCTGCAGTGAACGCTTCCAGCTCTTCCCAGCACAAGGGTTCATCCAGCCCCTGTGAGCCCAGGACGTGGTGGACACTTGGGTACCATCTGCCCACTGGCAGGACAGAGCTGCTGCTCCTGCTGTCCCAGGGGCCACCCCAGCTCCTACACAGCCACAAACACCCTCTGCAGCACCGCATCTCCAGGGGCTTTTACATCCCTCTGCCTCCCAGGAGCTGGTTCATCACCTGGAGCATCCTCAGGGATGCAGGAAGCAGCAGCATCGCAGCCTCCATGGTGCATCCACACCAACCTCAGCGGGGCAAAGTGCTCACCGAGGGCTGCCAAAGGCTGGAGGAGGCGCTTCCAGGTAGGATTGACTTGGGCACATCCATCCTGAGCCCCTCAGAGGGCTGCAAAAGCACTTCCATAGGGCAGAAGCAGCCCCAAAAGCCACCCCCCCAGCGCCATTGACCCACAGCCCAAAGCGCTCTTGTCCCTTTCCTCCTCTTCAGCCTGGTTCCAGCACAAAGATCCCACCTTTCCCTGTTGACAGACGTTCTCCAAGGCAAGGGATCTCCTCCGAGCCTGGGTTTGAATCCTCCCCTCCACATGAGCTGCAGAGCTCCGCTCCCAGCCGCATCCTGGCCAAGGTGGGTTCCAAACCCATCCAAATGGGCTCTGACATCTGCTGCACCAGATGAGCTGCAATTCCACAGGCTGGGATACCCTGAGCCCCACTCCCAGCTCCTCCTCTCCAGACTCGCTCCAGATTTTGTTAGAGAGGGAAAACCTGCTCTTGTTTCGGTGCATCTGCTCCATGCTCTTCCCTCCATGGCTGCCTTTGGAATCCGGCCTCAGGGATGGGATTCATCCCTCTGGGAAGCACAGGGCACGGAGCCTCCTGCAGCACCTCCAGCATCCTTCGCTGGACCAGCTTGGGGCTGTGCTTGTCCATACCAGAGCCCAGCTCCCATCCCCACGCACAGACCTGGGATCCTCTCTCCGGATGCATCCCCAGGGAAGGGCAAAGCGCAAGGACCCAGCTCCCCATCACAGCCCTGAGGTTCTCCTAAGGCCACACAAGATGCTTGGTTGAAGCCTCCACCACCCCATTGCTGCTCCTGCAGCAGGGTCCGGCTCCAAGGGGCACCAGGACCTGACCTTGGGTGATTCCAGAGCTGCATCCTCCTTCCAGGGCTTGGGAACAGCATCACCCCTGACAGATCCTGCCCATGGGCATGGCTTGGGGCCAGCACATAGCAACCCATCAGCAGCAAGGAGAGGAGAGGAGAGGCTGGCTCCAAGTGCTGCTGCATCCCAGGATGCTCCATCCCCATCCTCCTCCTCACACCCCCACCATGTCCCAGTGCTCCGGGGCTGGATCAGCCCCATTGCTGGGATGGGAGCTGGAGAACCCCTGATGGCAGCGGCTCCGCTCTGGGTTTGAGCATTCACACGGGTCTGGGGGCTCCACAAAGGCACCACCAGGGAATCCCAGTGCTCCTGAGGCCACCTGGATGGGAGGATGCAGCCACCACCAGCAGCCAAAAGCCAAAGCTCCAAGTCCTTGGGCAGGGATGAGAGGGGGGAAGCCCTGTTCTGGACCATGCATCCCCAGCATCAAATCCATCCGCAAAGGGGGCTGCTTCCCATGGGAAGCTGATGGGCAGGGCTGACCCTCCTCCTGTTTGACAGCAAACAGCTGATAACTCCTCTTTGGAGCCTGTTCCTTCGCTCCCAGCCCAAGGCCAATCTCCGGCACGGCTGTTGCCAAGGGAACCAGCTCTTTGCTTTGACAGATCTGGTTTAAGGCTCTCCCGCTGCCCAGCGAGGCGTCGCGGGAGCCGCCGCTTCCCATGCCCTGGAATGTCGCTCCCTCCGTGCTTTGGAGGCATCCGGATGCTCCAGAGCTCTGCCCAAGGAGCAAATGAGGCTGTAACGGGAGCAGGACATGGGGAAGCCCCGGCAGCTCCCACCCGAGGGGACAGAGCATCCATGGGTACCATCCCAACCACCCCAACCACCCCAACCACCCCAACCACGCGTCCATGGGTACCACGCATCCACGGGTACCACGCATCCACGGGTACCACGCATCCACGGGTACCACGCATCGATGCCTCCTCCTGCCTTCCCGCAAGGATGGGAGGGAAGAGGTGTTTCAAGGGGTGAGGATACAGGCTCAGCTCTGCTCTGGTCTTCCAGGTAACTTCCAGTCCTGGGAGTCCCCATATCGCAATGGATGCCCAATGGGAAGCGCTCTCAGCACTGGCTGTGGCCCACCAGGTCATCGCTGTGGTTGCAGGGTCTGTCCTGTTTGGAGGTGACACCCCCAGCATCCCAAAGAAAGGAAACCCTAACCCTAACCCCCCCCCCCCAAGGGAAGCACCGTGATGCTGAGCTGTGTCTGTGTGCTCAGGTTGAAGGGGTCTGAAGACACCACCAGGACCATCTGTCCCCATCAGGCTGGGAGATGGAGCAATGGCATGGAAAGGAGCACCAGGCATGGACACAACCAAACACATCCCATCGCTGGGGAACAGATCCTCATAGGGCCATGGGGTCCCTGTCTTCTGGTACCATCAGTCCTGTGTGAGGAAGGGATCCCGGCTCCTGCACAGCATCTGCTTGCAGCCACTCAGTCCAGAATCCTGGAATGGTTTCTGTTGGATGGGACCTTAAAGCTCATCCAGTTCCAACCCCCTGCCATGGGGAGGGACCCCTTCCATAGAGCAGCTTGCTCCAAGCCCCTGTGTCCAGCCTGGCCTTGAACACAGCACAACCTGTTCCTGCTTTTCCCTGGAAACCAAGGCCTGGAAGCAGCCACAAAAGCTTTGGCCTGAAGATAACGCCCTGCATGGGGCTCGCCAGTAAATCCACTGCCTGAAGCATTTAAGGTGAAGAAGAGGAGGTGGAGCCCGGCCTGGAGCATCACCTGAGGAAGAGGCAGGTCCCTGCAGCACCAAGAGGAGGGTCTCACAGCGACAGGGTCACCAGGAAAGATGCCACCATCCACGTTAGAGCCGATGCCGCCGCAGTCCCCGGGCGGTGGGAGCTGGTACCCTCAGCATCACACCGGAGGCAGAGCGTGACGCCAGGCAGGTGACTGGAATGGTTAAACACATCCCTGCCCTTCCCTTAGCACCGAGCTCCGGTTCTCTGCATCCCGGCTGCGTTGAGTGCTGCTGGCATCCCAAACACAACAGAGCATCACTGCATCCGAGCCCAGCCCGGATCCAATCCATCCCCCTGCCTCGGGGGGGACCACAGTGGGAGCTGTTTCAGAGCAGGAGGGAGAGCCCCATGGAACAGGATCACAGAATGGTCTGGGTGGGAAGGGACCTTAAAGCTCATCCAGTTCCAACCCCTGCCATGGGGCTGAGACCCACTATTCCAGGCTGGATATTCCCAACCTGCCCTGGGAAGAGGATGGAGGTGCCGGGGCAGGAGGCGATTTGCAGCCCCCTCATTGCTGCGTGATGAAGGGGAGGTGGAGGTGATGCTGCTGCTTCACTCCATGGCTGCAGGGCCCTGGCCAAGAGCAGGGAGGAGGGAACTGGACCAGATGGTTCAAGCTGAGCTGACCCAGTAATGGAGAGGAGGAGGAGGAGGATCCGATGCATCTGACTCCAGGGCTGTGACGGGGCTGGCATCGCCCCCGAGGCCCCATGGAGGAGGCAGCTCAATCTGTGCCGCTCCATCCGCGGCCGGTGGCCAGGCTGGGGCTGGGGAAGGAGCCTGCAGAAGGGCTCCGATGGAGACAAGGCACCGGTGGTACCAACCCAGGCACCGGCACAGGGAGCTGTGCCGCTCTGCCACATAGATCCAGGGGGAAATGGATCCATTGGAGCATCACACCCAGCTCCGAGACCACCACCCCAAAGGCACCTGCATCCTGCTCCTCCTCACCCTGCTGGCACCATGGATGGGGTAAAACCAGGCTGAACCCGGGCCAGTGGAACCAAGCGATAACCTTGGTGGGAGCACCCAGATGTAGACGCCTCCGGTTACTCCGGCAATCCCAACACCTCTGGAAGGCGAGAATTCCAAGCAGAGGGAGCAGAGGCAGCATCCAGCATGCAGGAGACCTCCCAGGCAGGGAACCCTGGGCTCTTCCCTCCATCTCCATCCGGATAAGGATGGTGCCCACACTTGGAGGTGATTTAGGTCTGTTGGGAATTCCTCCTCCTCCTCCTCCAGCCAGGAAGCTCCCAGCAAATCCCCCCTTGTCCTCAGCAGCCAAACACCAATCCCATGCTCAGGACAGCGGCAGTGATGCCAGCACATCCCTCACTGTCTGGGTATGCAGCGGGATCACCACTTGATCCCATGCATTGTCTCCAAAGCCAGTGTTCCCCGTTGAGCCTAATGCATTGTGCCAGTGGCTGGATGCTCTGCCCCAGCCAACATCCTCACCCTGGGATCATCCCTTGCTTCCCACGGGCAGCCGATCCATCCCCCAGGATCAGGCCATGGAGCAACGCCTGCACCTCACTGGGGTGGCCCTGCTGTAAGGCCTATGGAGAGCTCTGGGGCAGCGTGGAACGATGCGTTCCCACCACCCAGCCCTGCACACCAGGGCTCATCCCATTGATGCCATGGGCTGGAGGAGGTCACAGATCCCCACAGGAGCAGAGCTGGCACCTCCTGAGAGCTTCAGGACCACGGGACCATCAACTGCAAGAGATGGGGAAACCCTGCGGGACCCCAAACCTCCCCCTGCTCCCACCCAGGGGAGATGATTCCCTACTGGAAGGACACCATCTGGAAGCACAGGGCAGAGAAAGCTCCTCCGTGCTCTGATCGAGCACCACAACCTTATGGGATGGGGCCAGCCGGAACCTGCGTCCCTGCAAGCACCTTGCCTGGCTCCAGAGCATCCTCAGCCAGCGGGGCCATGGGGCACAAGGCACCAACACACACAGAGCTGCCCCATCTCCCCCCCACCAGGCAGCCCCAGCTCCAGGACCTTCAGCACTGAGGCTTCTCCCAGCAGGAGCAATGCAAGCGATGAGCGGAGCAGCTCTGGTACAGCGAGACCGGAGCTCAGCTCCCCATGGGGTGAGCTGCATCCCAGGATGCTCCATCCCCATCCCATCCAACCCAGTACAGGCAGAACCAGCCCCGAGAAGCCGGGTTCTGGCACATGGTGGCTTCCCATGGGACAACAGTCGGGCACTGTTCAAACAAAGGGGTTACACAACTCCGGGGGTGAATAATCCTCGGAGCAAGACCAACCACGCACCCAACCCAAACACGGAGCAATCTGCTGACAGCAGCACAACCCCAGCCAAGCACACACAGCCCGGGGGGGGAGGCACCAGCTTCCAGCACCAGGGAGACTCCCAGGAGCTCTGCTGGGCTCTGCCATGGTGGAAGCTCTGGAATCTGGAGCATTGGGAGAGGGTTCGTCAAGGAGAGGAGATGGTTTCCCCATCCCTGCTTTGGGAAGGGTGCTGCGGGGCGGCTGGAATGCCATGCTGAGGGGCGCTGACCACTGAGACACACCAGCAGCTTCTCAAGCATCTTCCATCCATCCATCCATCCCCTCTGCTCCCAAAGGCTTTGTGGGGTCTCTCTGTGTTGGACATGGAGAACCGGGCAGCTCATGGCCAGGGCTGGGCCCCAGCAGCAGGATGAAATCCTGCAGTGTCATCATCCCGGCCCTGTCCTGCCCCAGGACCACAGGGCTCCAGGTCACAGCCACCCCTCCTAAGGCAGCACCCTGGGGTGCTGAGCATCCCCATGGTGCTATCTCCGTGCTATGGGGCCGGGCAGCACCCACACACGCTGTGACTCTCGCTGGCTCCTGTGGGAGGTTACGTGGCCAGAACCAGAATAAACCCTGGGATTCGTGGATGGGAACGCAGCCATGGAGCAGCACCAGCCCCCGGAGCAGCTCTGCCCGTGACAACCACCTCCTCCAGCACAGCGATGGGGCTTGGACCCCTCATCCACCGCAGCACGCTCCATCCACCCCAGCAGCCCTGGGAAGCCCATTCCCAAGCTGGAATTGCCTCCCTGCTTCCAGCAAGCCACAGGCAAGGGCTCAGACAGCGGTTGGAGCCTTTCCCACTGCAACACCCCCCCCACACCAAAACACAGACGCTGCTGCCGCTCCCTGCGACCTGCTCCTCATCCAAACACATTCCCGGCCATTGGATCATGGAGAACGCAGCCGGAATCGCGGCTCCGGTGCTGGACGGTGATGGAGAACCGGGTGCTGCCATTGCCCAGCCCTCCCCAAAATGACATTCGCCGTTATCGCCTGCCTCGCCCGCGGTGCCGTAACGCCGGGTAAACACCCTTTGTCTCCAGCGAGCCCCGTGCGTGGAGCCAACCGGATGGATGCTCCGGGCATCCCGGCGGGATGCGGAGCGGACACCGGGGGATGGGGATGGGGGGGCTCCCACCGGGCTGGACCAGAGGGACCCGGGGGATCGTGTCCGTGTCCGTCCCCCCCCCCCTCCGCCATCCCCGGGGCACCTCCGCCCGCCGCCGCCGCCGCCGCCCCCCCCGCGGCTCCACCCGCGCCGCCGCCCGCCGGGGCCTGTCTGGAACCTTCCGCCGCCCCGGCCCCGCCCCGGGCGGTGCGCGGGGATGGGGGGACCCGGCGGGGCAGCACCGGCACCGCCGTGACCTTGAGCCCCCCCCCCATAACAACCCCAGCCCCCGCCAGGTCCCGGCGCGCCGTGACCCACATAACGGCGGCGCCGCCCGCAACCTGTCGCTCGGTGCGGGGGTGCGGAGCGGTGCGGGGGTCCCGCCGGTGCCCGGTCCCGCACTCACCGTCGCGGGAGAGGTTTCCCCGGGCGGCCCCGCAGCAGGCGAGGAGCAGCAGCAGGAGGAGGCCGAGGGGCAGCATCGCGAAGGCGGCGGCGGTGCCCGAGCCCAACCGAGCCGCAGCGCGGAGCCTCCGGTGGCACCGAGCGCGCCGCCGGTGTCGGGGCTGGGGCCGGCGGTGCGGCAGCGGCGCGGGTTAAATAGAGCGCGAGGAACAGACCATTCGTGCCGGGGGGGGGGGGGTGGAACGGACCGGGAGGGGGGGGGGCGGTGATGGCGGGGGAGCGGAGCTGATGCCGCCCCCCCCGGCCCCTGTATAAACAAACCCGCTCTGGCCGCCGGCCCCCCCCACGTCCCGGGCCGCGGTGGTGCGCTCCACATGCGCGGCTCCCCGCGGGAGGCAGGTGCGCGCGGGGCGGTGGGGCCGGTGATCCCAATGGTGATCCCGTTAATCCCAATGGTGATCCCAGTGGTGATCCCGGTGATCCCAATGGTGATCCCGTTAATCCCAGTGGTGATCCCGGTGATCCCAATGGTGATCCCAGTGGTGATCCCGGTGATCCCAACGGTGATCACAGTGGTTATCCCATTAATCCCAATGGTGATCCCATTAATCCCAATGGTGATCCCAGTGGTGATCCTGGTGATCCCAATGGTGATCCTGTTAATCCCCGTTAATCCCAATGGTGATCCCAGTGGTTATCCCGTTAATCCCAATGGTGATCCCAATGGTGATCCCGGTTATCCCAACAGTGATCCCAGTTATCCCAGTGGTGATCCTGGTGATCCCAATGGTGATCCCAGTAATCCAAATGGTGATCCTGGTGATCCCAATGGTGATCCCAGTAATCCAAATGGTGATCCCAGTGATCCTGGTGATCCCAATGGTGATCCTGGTAATCCAAATGGTGATCCCGGTTATCCCAGTGGTGATCCTGGTGATCACAGTGGTGATCCTGGTTATCCCAACAGTGATCCCGGTAATCCAAATGGTGATCCCAGTTACCTCAGTGGTGATCCCCGTGATCCCAGTGGTGATCCCGTTTATCCCAGTGGTGATCCCAGTGATCCCAATGGTGATTCCAATGGTCCCAGTGATCCCGATGGTCCCCATGGTCCTGGTGGCCCCCATCCCACCCCCCGGCTGAAGAGCCCTGGTCCAAGCGGTGTCTCAGTTCATCCGGATGTCGTCCCCGCTCCCGATCGGGGCTGAGGGCGAGCAGGACCTGGCCCCTGTGTGCTGGGAGCACCCCCAGGGCAGGAGCAGGGGCATGGGGGGGATCCTGCCCCTCTGGTGCACTCTGTGAGACCCCCCCCCCCCCACATCCTGCATCCAGCTCTGGGGCAGCAGCACCACAGGAGGCCATGGAGCTGCTGCGAGGGCTGGAGCAGCTCCCATAGGAGCCAGGCTGAGAGAGCTGGGCTGGGGCAGCCTGGAGAAGAGAAGGCTCCTGAAGGGGAGACCTGAGAGCAGCTCCAGTGCCTAAAGGGGCTGCAGGGAACCTGGAGAGGGGCTTGGGACAAGGGATGCAGGGACAGGGCAAGGGGAATGGCTTGAACCTGCCCGAGGGGAGACTGAGCTGAGCTCTTAGGCAGAAGCTCTTCCCTGTGAGGGTGCTGAGGCGCTGGCACAGGGTGCCCAGAGAAGCTGTGGCTGCCCCATCCCTGGCAGTGCTCAAGGCCAGGTTGGACACAGGGGCTGGGAGCATCCTGCTCCAGTGGAAGGGGTCCCTGCCCATAGCAGGGGTTGGAGCTGGAAGAGCTTTAAGGTCCCTTCCCACTCAAACCAGTGTGATTCTGTGGTTGTGCAACCCACATGCTTGGGCCTGGCTCTGGTCCCTGGGCTTGAGTAATTCCATCCCTGCAGCAGCCCATGCACTGATCCTCATTCAGACTCACTGCTCAGTCACATTTGGGGTGAAAACTGTTCCAGTCCTTGTCTGCTGATCCCTAAAAACCACGGTCCAGCCCTTGCTCTCCCAGGAAACTCCTTTATCCGCTGTCATCCATCCATTGGATGATAACACCCCAGAGCTCTCTCTGCCAGCCCTAGAGGGGGAATTAACCCCTTTACCTTCAGGAGGTCTGAACCAGCACATTTCACACACCACCATAAACTCCTCCTCACGTGCCGCGGTGCTGAGCCTGCACCCCGGTCCCCTCCTGCACGTAGCTGTGTGAGAGGGATGTCTCCATTAGTCATCGGCTCCGTGGGAAGGGGCTGTGGGAGGAACAGCTTTCTGCTGGTCACATCGGAGCGCTGCTCCTTCATTTCAGCCTGGATGCGGGCCTAAAGGCGATGCTGCTCCTGCTGCGGCCTCATCCTGCTGCCCTCAGTGGTGCTGGGGGGGGGGCTCCAATGGGAGGGTGGGATGGAGCAGGGAAGCTGCAGAGGCTCCTGTGGGCAGGCAGATCTCAGTCACCTCCTCCTGTCCTAACAGGGATGCTGCAGAGGCAGAACTAAACCCCCTGGGAGCAGCGGGAGTGTGGAGCTGAGCCCCATTCCGTGGTCCCCAGTGGTGCTGGCTCTGACCTGGGAGCAGCAGAGAGCACAGGAGGGGGGAGTGAAGACAAACCCAGTGCTGTGCCTGGACCTGATGCTATTCATCACCCAACATGGGCTGTTGGGTGCCTGCAGCTCAGCCTGTGTTGGGTGCTCCAACACCCAATGATGCCCTATGCAGGTGATGATGGGAGGGCTGGTGATCTGCTGAGCTGGAACTAAAGCGATGCTCCAGTAAGGCTCCAGAGATACATGCTTCACTAAGGCTGAATGTAGCACTGTGGGAGGTGTCTCTGCCCATGGAACTCAATGTTAAGGTCCTTTCCAGCCCCAACCATTCCAGGATTCCATGAGTGGCAGTTGAGGGATGCAGGTTGAACGGATGAGGGATGATGCTGCTTAGAGACACAGTGACCAGGGGAGATGTGGAGGTCGCTGGAGCATCAGATAACCCTTATCTGCTTCAACTGCTCTATTTCTAAGAGCATCAAGGCCTTCCTGAGCTGTGGTACCAACCTCAGTGCCCCAGCAAAGTCCAGCTCTCCCAGGCTGGTAACTGGAGCGGGATGCAGTGGCTGGCAGCTGGGATTTGGACCGTGGTCCTGCAGTGATTCCCAATGCAGATTAACCCGCTGGGGTGAGCCTTGAATTCCAGATGAGCTTCTCCCACAGTCCCTTCACGTTCCACAGGGATCCGCTGTGGCTCGGGCTGGTGGCCAAGCTCCAAATGGCCATTTCTAATCTCCTCTGTGCTGACATTTATTAGCTCCTGGCTTGGGCACAGCGCGGAGCTGACTCCACATCCTGGCACCGCATCCTCCATGGATGCTCAAGCCGCTTCCCAAGCACTGGGACAGGTCCAGCGGAGCTCAGACCCTCCCCAAGCCCCCTTCCTGAGGTCCTCCCTGTGCTCTGAACGCTGGTTTCATGCAGTTCTGATGTAGAAGATGCTGCAAACGGTGCAGGAATTGCTCGTTCCGGGTGGTTTGACTCGTGCAAAGGCATCGCATCCGCCCCGATGAGCGCTGTGTTGGGTGTCGATGCGCACGGTGTCAAAACAAGGCGTTGGAATAGCTGCAAAGGAAACAGTGATCCGAAGGGAAATGTTCCTGGGAAAACTGGCAGGAAACCAGGGAATAAAGACCAATCCAAGAGGATTTTCTCCTTGGTAACTGGGAAACGTCAGGGCAGGACGGCGAAGCTTGGCTGTAGTCGCCTCTCCTGTTACTGGGCATGAGTTCTCACCTGAGCATGGGATGGATTGGTGGTTGGAATGGTTTAATCCATGCAATCCAGAAAGCATTAGCAGGCTATAGATCCAGCTTTGCATCCCTCAGCTGCTGGGAAAGAGACTTTGGGCACTGGGGGGATGCATCTTGGACATTTGGGCTGGAGAAGCTGCTTCTGGTTTGGGGTGGAAATGGGCTTTAAACACTATATGTCAGTCTGTGAAAGGCCTTATGAGGGGAGAAGTAACTTGATTTATTCCAGAGTAACACGCAGGCCCTGGATCAATACATCACTATCAAAGAGAGGCTTTTTATATAGATACATATACACTGACTCTAATATACTCAAATTGAACATCCAAGAGCCCAAAGAGGCGGCTGCAGCAGCAGGGATTGGAAAAGGGCTTTAAATGACATGAAAAGAGGAAGCCAGTTAGAAGGGAATTAAAGGGAACAGCTAAAGGGGCTGGAGCTGGGGCTGCCCATCCCTGCAGTGCTGGATGAGGCTTTTGATTCCATAGCATCCTGGAATGGGTTGGGTTGAAGGGGCCTTGAAGCTCCTCCAGTTCCAAGCTGGGACACCTTCCACTAGAGCAGGATGCTCCAAGCCCCGTTCAGCCTGGCCCTGAGCATCACTCACAGCATCCAGGTACTGTCCACATTGCCCATGTCTCTGGTATTCCTGTTGTGTTCCTGCCTCCATGTCCCTGGATGAGCCGTGCTCCATGGGTCAAGCAGCTCAGAGCAGGATTCTTCCTTATGGGATGGTTTTCCTGGCTCGCCATGGAGAGAAACGGGTTCCACCACTAAGAATGGAAGCTCCGAAGGGTTAAAACGTCCCAGGAGGAGAAGCAGCTTTGATTCATGTCTCCACATAAAACGTTTCTAATTATACTGGCTCTTATCTCGGGGCTGGAGCGGGTTCACAGCTCTGCTTTGTCCTTGATGTGCTCGGCACAACGGCTCCGTTCCGGACAGCGCTGGGATGAGGCTGGGAAGGAAAAGCAGCTTCCAGGCATCCTGCAGGAGGAGGAGCCCTCGTTGGGAACATCAGGAGCTGCACATGGGGTAAAAGCCAGCCCTGTATGAGCACAGCCTGGCACACGCAGCCATAGGGTGGACCAGGAGACTTCCTGCAGCCCTGAATTAGCCCATTCCATCGGGCTGGAAAGGACCTTCCAGCAGATCCCATGGAGATGCTGCTCCCAGTGCCCTCCCGAGCATCGTGAGGGAAGGGAAGGAAAAGGAAGGGAAGGAAAAGGAAAAGGAAAAGAAATAGGAAGGGAAGGGGAAGAGAAGGAAGAGAAAGGAAGGGAAGGAAAAGGAATAGGAATGGAAGGAAAAGGAAAAGGAAAAGAAATAGGAAGGGAAGGGGAAGAGAAGGAAGAGAAAGGAAGGGAAGGAAGGAAAAGGACTTCCCACACAGTGGGAAAGGGCAAAGCCTTTTCTGTCTGTGCCCCTCAGCTCC